TTATTTTACCTCCAAAATGAAGGCATATCACCACTAGGTGGAGGTACACAGGGTTCAAAAGCACGCAGCAGGAAGGCTCAGTGGTTAGCACAGACGCCTCACAGCAAGAAGGTCCTGGGTTTGATCCCCGGTTCGGACCTGGGGTCTTTCTGTGTGGAGTTTAGATGTTCTCTTTGTGCTTGCGTGGGTTTTCTCTGGGTACTCTGGTTTCCCCCACCCCCAAAAACATGTACAACAGGTTGCCTTCATGCCCAGGCTGCCTTTGAAAAAGAGATCTGAGATCTCAATGAGATTTGCCTGGATAAATAACTGTAAATTWAAAAAAAAAGTAGCCAGCAGGCAGTGAAATTCGTTTGTAAAATCTCCATTTTGTTGAATTCTTGCAGCTACTTTTGCTGTATCTCAGTTGTACTGGGAAGTACAGTACAACTGTGATCAGAAGGTCTGCATGTACAACAAACAATTTATACATTTAAACTGGAACACCCTGTTCCAATGGGACTTCTGTCAGAAAGTATTCAAGTCAGAATTCAGAATTCAAGCAACCAAAATTTCAAGTAATTGTTGCTGTTTGCATGAGTTACTCAGCTTTCTTTAAAATAATTTGCTCACTAATGTTGAAAAAAGACAAAGAAAACTGTAACATCTGTGAAAAAATTCAGGTGGTTCTGACTCAGAGACTGACATTATGAACAGCAGTAATCAACGCTTTTATCAAACTCCTGGTCACAATACTGTATACATAGTGTTTATTTTAAATGTAAGTGGCCTGTAATGACTGTTTTATTCAACAAAACATGTTATTTATTTACTGGGCTGCTGTTGTATACACTGTTTATTGAACACTGTTCTTATGTGACGAATGTTTGACTTTTATTTGTAATAAATCCATCTATTCGTAAATTTCGTGTATTTTTTTTACCCATCTCCAGATATTTTTTTCCTTTTAGCGCTCTGCTGGCGAACACATGATCAATAACGTTTTTTAGTTGATTAGAAAGGGTCATATTTGTGCCAAAAATACAAAATATTCTCCATTTTGTCCAACTAAAAAGCACATTTGTAAGACACCAGGCACAACTTGAGTATTCCTTTCCTACGTGAACTTTAAAACCAATCTAACAATGTAAATGGACTCAATAAAGTGTGCAGGTGCGGGGCATGCATGTTGTGTTTGTCAGCTGAAAAAGAGCGAAGCTTTCGCTGCAGATCTGCTCCAACATGATCCCAAAGGATTAGACCGTCATTCTGAACAGCCTCCTCTAACAAAACTCTTACCTCACCTCCAGGGAATTTACAATTCAAACACATCACTGGACTGATGCACACACCTGTTCCTTTTACTGTATGTTCCTCTTCACCTGATATGTTACTTTAAGGATCTAGCAAATACATTTTATGCTTGAGGCATAACTTTTTACTGCCAACTTTCTTTTAAATCCCTTCATTACACAAATTATCCTTCGTATTATTCTTTCCTTTCAACTAAATCTTTCTGACATGAACCTCAGTAACGAGACAAAACAAAACAAAACAAAAAACCTCTTGGGTCTCGGAGTGACGTGTACGTCCACGTTACGTCACAAGTGGAACGACAAAAAGTCTTGAACCGTTTCTGCTCACCTCCTGGATGAGGGCGTTGTGTCGCAGCACTTTGCGAGCCTTCATGATTCTCACTATAGCAGCTTGTAAATACATTTTTCGGTCCTCGTCTACCGCGCTCCTCGTCTGCTCCATCTCCTAAACTCCACACAGACATTGGGATTAGGCTGAGAGCAGAGCGTGAAAAGAAGCTGTCGAATGCAGATATTTGCAGTCTGACCTGTGGGGTGTCTTTCTGCATCGACGTAGTTATCTTGAACTTTGTTCTTTTACTAGTAAAATTCATATTTAGTGAAAACGTTGACTCTGTTTCAATTTCCTCCTGTGAGCGAAGAGACGAAACAATGAGCATTACTTTTTATAAACGTGCTGTAAATGTAACCTCACAACAGAAACTAATTCATGCTTCCTACAAAAGCTCACTTTTTGTGAATCGTGGTTGAGCATCTTGACGTCCAGCAGGGACTTGATGGTTTTCTGTAGCTCCTTCTCGTTCATCTGGGTGCCGTCCTGCAGCTCCTTGTATGTCACTGTCTGGCTGTTGTTGAAGGCTAGCAGCACAGCCATCTGATACGTAGTCACCATGGCAACATAAGGCTTGGACAGGTAGTTCATCTTTACCTCACCTGTGTGAAGAAAGAAAGATGAACACACTTCTCTGCAAACCAGTGTTGGAAAACATAAATATCTCAGGAAAAAAAACTATAATTTTCTGTGTGAATAATCAAATAAAAAGCACTAAAATGAATCTAAAATKGAGGAGAATTGTCTGAGAATTTGCATTAAATGGAAGAAACACATTGTAAACTTTTCTCTTCAGAACTCAAATGAAGTCAAATTAGAGAAATTCCTGTGAAAATGCAGTGTGAATGCTTAATGCTTAAACATTTRWGCTGAAAGCTGCTGAAGAAACTGAAAAGGTTTAATAGCAAAACTTTTAACGAGAGTTAAATGTGAGCAGCTGACAACTGGTAAAACATGAAAAGTCAGTAGAAATATAGCAAGGGCAAAAAACATCTGAAAAGAGCTAGTTACCCAAAAGAAGGTAAAAGTAGATGAAACACATTAAAATTGACAGACGGGGAAATAAGAATTATTGGACGACCAAAGAAAAAAATAAAACAAGTACTAGCATATTGTTTTCAAATAGCTAAAAAAGCTTAAACTAGCCTAAAATTGTTAAAAAATAAAGTGTAGCTGAAAGAGCTGAAATTAGCACAAAGAAACAGAAAAAGCACATCTGCTTAATTAAGTTGTAAAAAGCTGAAATTAGCTAAAATTTGTTGAAAGGTYGCTAAAAACACAAAACAGCTGAAATTAGCAGAAAGTAACTGAAAGAATCACAAAAACCTTTAACTGGCAGAAAGAAGCACAAAAGTTAGCAATTGTCAGGATGATAGCTAAAAACGGCTAAAAAAGGAGAAAAAAGGCTAAAATAAAAAAATTGAAGCCGACGGAATCTGATTTTAGCACAAAAAAGTTAAAAAAACAAAAACAATAGATTAAAAAAAAAGTTAGACCAGAACATAGGATAAAAAGTACAGTAACGATTTATGTTGAAGACAGCTCTAGAGAAAAAAAATTCAGGAAAGGCTAAATATCTCAAAAAGTATAAATTGGTGAAATACCAAAAGTCATAGCCAGAATGTCCTGAGAGAGCTGAAAGTTTTGATCTAGAAATTGTTGAAATAGCACAAAACTACACACACAAGTACAACCAGATATGTGCCAAAAATATACAYTACCAAAGAAAAAAATGATCTCATTAGTGTGAAAAAAAAGATATAATCATTTAATGATGCCTTGCAAAACGATGTACTAATTGCTCTTCTGTCCCGGTCTCTGTTGAATACAGCTGCTTATTATATTCATCAGTATCAGTATTTGTTACCTGTGCAGAGAAAGTGCAGCCAAGTCAACTTTCTCCCACTGAAGTGCTGATTATAAAACCTCTCAAACTGAAAAAAAAAAGGAGAAAAAAGGTGTTAACTCACAAAGTGGTCCAATCAGAATCACTTTCTTACAGATCAAAGTGTTTTCCTCACCATCTGCACACTCTTTTCTAGCTCTTGAGGGATGGCAAAGGTGCACGAAGGGACATGTGTTAAAGGCCAAGCTCCGGCCTGCAAAATGACAGAAAACATAACGTCACACTGAAAGTGAGAGAAACTTTTCAGAACTAAGCAGAAAATACCCAACATATTAACCCCTCTTTTCAACAGTAACACAAGTGGCGACTACAAGACCACAAGTTCCCAAGAGAACTTTCCCCCAGTGTTGTTTCTACTGGTCTGAGTCCTCCTCACAGACCTGTAACACATAGATCTGGAAACTGATTCCCAGGTCCACCACCGTCTCCTGTGTCTTGATGAAATTGTTGAACTTGTTGTTGAGGTCAGCGCTCACACTCATGTCTGTGTACATTCTGTGAAGTTTGCTGGTGAACTCATAGCCACAAGCTTGCTGTAGAATTAAAGGGAGAGTGTGATGAGCAACATAAAAACGTACTGTCAATGTAAAAGACTGATGTAAAAGTTTGGAATTGAATCATACCTTTTTAAAAGTAAACATGCTTCATTTTTCAGGCATATATAGATAAATTTATTTACCTTTAGTTTGTTGATCATGGCTTCTTCTGAATCCATTGACAATGATAAACCGTGTATTAACCGCTTTGCTAACATTCTGGCATAAAACTACAAAAACAGAAAATGAGTATTTTAGGACAACAGATACTATAAACAGACACAAAAGCTCTACTTTTTGAACTATTTTAAGATCCAAACCACACTCAGAAGAAAGACTGGGACAAGATGCTACTTTAAAAAGAAAATAAAGATGGGGTTATTTGTGTATTCTAGAATAAGAAGTTGTTTGAGTACCTTTTGAAAGATGTCCTTATCATCTATGTACTTAAACACTGTGATGAAGCTGGTCAGCTTATCCTCCACCTCATTTTCTGTCATTCCCTTTGCAGATTTTTTCAACAGATTGTCACAGTATTTTGCCAGCTGGACGGAGACACCAGGCGGGGAAGGAGATGGTCAGGACAGCGTGTGTGTAACACCAAACATCTGCGTGATCATATTGTGTGGGTACTCACAAGTTCAGGGGCTTTGCAGATGGACTTGGGCTCCCTGAAGTTCACTACAGACGTCAAAGCCTGAGAGAGAAAACAAACTGAGCTCACTCAGAAAAGAACTTTAGACATTAGACAGCTTATAGCAACTTTGGTGCTTATTTAAATGCAATTTTGCAGTTAAAAATTTTTTATGAGCAAAGACCAATAAACACACTGTTGATTTTATTTAATCTGAATGTTTTCAGCTCTGTGATGAACGTCTGTGGAGTCAGTGAGGTGAAGTTTTTGGGTGTCATCATTGATGAGAAACTGACATGGAGACCTCCTATAAATCATTTAAGAAAAAAAATAGCAAAATCTATTGCAGTTTTGTACAAAGTAAAGGATTAATTTAATGATAAAGGTCTGTTTATATTWTATAATGRAATAATTGTTCCACWCTTYATCTACTGTYTTGATGTTTGGGGAAAAMCATGKAAAACAACAACAAATCCTATTTTTATTTTACAAAAAAGAGCATTATTATCACCCATCAAATGTTCCATCAGTTAAAATTATTGAAATTCTATGATTTGGATAATTGTGGTATTTTATCAGTTATGTATAGGGCTCATAAAAATACATTATCTTCAAACTACACTTTATTAAAAGAGAGAGTTGTTATAATCTCAAGGGGATAGAAATGTTTGTGAGACCTAAAGTTAGAACCAGTTTAAAGGAATGGAGTACTTCAGTCCAGGGAATTAAATTATGGAATAATCTGGAAGATGACATTAAAAATGCCAGATCAATGTGTATATTTAAGAGAATGATAAAGGTTAATTTGCTGGAGAAATATGTAAATGTATGAATTGTTGTTCTTTTTTTAAACTGTACTTTATTTTTGATTTTATTTATTTGAGAAAAAGGGGCAGATATAATAAGATTTTTTCTTCTTCTGCTACCTTTCATTCAATTTATGATTTGTAATTTTGTTTGTTGTTGAATTTATGTTGTTGTTTTTACAGAAATTAATAAACTAAACTAAACTAAACTTGAGAACTGTCTGGGGTGTACCCCACTGGAGATAGGCACCAGCCCCGCCCCTGTGACCCGAAAAGGAAAGAAAATGGACGAATGTCGGAAGAATGAGGCTGCAGTACCTTATCGAGAGCACTCATAAAGTGCTGATCTCCATTTAGAACTGTGTTAATGAGCTGAACAAATTTGCTGTGAACTTCCAGAACTGATTCCACAAACAGAGTTGGCATCTGCAGGGTAGGACGAGAAGAGACAGAGACAGTTGTGACAGGTGTCTACACATTTCTCACCACACCCACACACAGTTAGATCACTGACGTTTTCCTGAGAGAGGTTACTGGTGCCTCTGATGCCCTCGTTGTTAATGTGGGCCTGCAGCTCCTGAATCATGTGAGGCAACCCACTGGACACAGCTCGCAACAAGGTATACATGTTGGCCATGTCTGGACAAAAACAACAGAAATAGAATTATCAGCTTCTCTGCAACGTGGCTGTGGTATGCAAACACTCCCAGCACATATTAGGAGCGAGCATAATGAGCTCATTAGGGAGCAAAGTGGACTGACCGTCTCTCTTCTCCTGTCGAATAATGCTCTGGCACTCCCCGTGCAAGAACTGCAGATGATCTGCCACCATCCTCTGCTGGCATTCATGAATGACTTTGGAGTAAGAGCTGGGGTGCAGGTACTTCCGACATCGGACCTCTTCGTCTTTCAACCGCGCCAAAACCTGCGAAAAGACGACCCGGTTCGGTTCGTTTGAAGTCCTTCGACTTTGTCGCGGACCACGGAAACGAAAGAGAAAGCAACAGTGACCCAGAAACGTTTAGCCATATTGGATGAGACCATCTCTTACCTTCTCCATATACTGTGAGCAGTTAGATTCCTGCAGAAGATTGGAGGCTTCCTGTTTGTAATACTCTCCTGTTTTTATCAGAAAAGGCCCTTCAAAGATTTCTTGATAAAACTGTAACACAAAGTTTAGAAAAAACAAACAAACAAACAGTTTTTAGCAGGTCTATTGTACGTTGTGTAACTGGGTGATTCTTATTGTTGTCTCACCTTTAGTGGAAACTTCTTCTTGTACTGTTCAACATGAACAAAAGAGTTGATGACCCCATGGATTACCTTCTGGTTGGGGTTCTCGCCGCACCGATCACTGCAAGCCAGAACAGGTTCAATACTCCTGATAAAAACAAGCCTCCTGACAGGTGATGTCATGGGAAGGTTTCTCTTGTAAATAAGACCAGGCTTTTTGTTTTTAACTCAATACTCACACTAAAAGCACTATAGTTGCTGGAGGTGGTAGAGACAAAGGAGTTTGAACACATGTTTAACCCACACTAAATGTTGCACTGAACAGTTTGTTAAATATTTTATTCTCCTTAAGAAGAGATTAGAAATATGTTCCCATAGTTCTGACCACAAGTGGTGGACCTCAAAAGAGATCGTTTTTAGAACCTGCTGTGTGAGAAAAGCCTACTTTTTGATTTCATTCAGCAACATCCGGATGAGAACGGCCTGGAGGGGTTCGATCATCAGCTTTCTCCACATATCCAARGCCAACTGCAAAGACAAATGAAAACCACATCATTACCACAGCGTAAACAGAAACTTGAAGGGGTTTTTTCTGTTGGGATGGGGTAGAAAGGAAATCTAGACCAGAGACTTGAATGATGTTAACCTCATTCTGTGAATACTATATTTTTAGTAGTGGTAAAACTATTTATGAATGTAGAGGAAACCGTTTATTAAAAAAATAATAATAATTAGAGTACTTCTCCGATRTCCATGAGCGGCTCATTCATGTCCACTCCTCCGTAGCCATACTGCAGGTCGGCTTCTGTTAGCTTGTTCTTCTTGATGAACTGTGTGTTGAGATACCTGTACAGTAAAGGAGATGAGTTAAGATTTTAGCACATCAGTTGTCCGTTCTTGATCAAAAATATCTGAACTGTTCATTTAACCGAGTTAAGATTGTGAAGATTCAGTGACAAGACCTATAACTATAATTATCCAACATTCTAGGACAATTAATAGTAAAACTATCTTTACTTACCAAGTACGCACGCAAGAACTTGTAAGTACAACCATTTTTAATGATCACTTACAGACTCGTAACTGGAACTAAAAATTTAGAATAATTGGCATAAAGTAAATAACGCACATTGAAAGAGTGCATTTATGTTTCAGATCTACGATTTTAGGAATGTTCACATTGTAAGATTTTTATTTAGTCAAATATTTCCCAACTAAAATATTTTTATCCCATTAGTACAACATTAAGTGGGAATATTCTATTGACATAATAATATTTTAGTTGGGAATTCTCTGACAAAAAAAAAGTTGTATTGTTTGCATAAAAAGGCCTTGACAAAGACAGGAGATAGAACTGGAAGTGTCAGAGCTGAAGATGTTGAGGTTCTCCTTGAGACTGACAAGACTGGATAAGATTAGGAACGAGATCATCGGAGGTACAGCACAGGTGGAACTGGCAGATAAAGGTTAGAGACCAGACTGAGACGGTTTGAAACGGTCCTGAGGAGGGACAGTAGGTATATTTGTAGTAGGGTATAAGGGATGTAACAATCAGGAAAAAGACAAAGAGGAGATACATGGATGCAGTTATAGTGAGGACAGAGTGGTGACACTGAAGAGGGAACAGCCGAAAGATGAAGAACATTACGGGTTAAAAAACATCTAAATATTGGTGTATCGTGGCGTCTATCTGCATAACAAACAACAAGCAAACAGTAATATTGTTTTAAGGAGAAAAATAACAATTACAGGCATAAAAAGCAGAATTCGTGTAAAGTAGATTTCCCAGGAAATATTTTAAACTCCAATAAATAATACTGTACCAAGTATCATTTAAAGGAGGATTTTGTAAAACCACCAGTTCCTGTAATAGATTTGCTGATGCTGAAATGCATCATCTGTGATTCAGCAACTCTTGTATTTCACAAGAAGATCAAGCAAGGAACAGTGTAACTTCCAGGCTGTCACGCTGATCTGTGTTGTCTGATTCAGTTCCACCTAAACTGCACGSCGTTTTTACAGCTGCGCCACAAATGTTTGCTCAGTTTGACAAGCCAAAAACAACTCATGAAGTTATAAAAGCCAGCTAAAATGACAGCTTGTGTTTAATGCCACTAAAGGAGAACAATAAAGAAAACAGTCGATTCAGAGAGTAGAACTGTTTGTTACTATGCAGCTGCAGTTCGCCTTAAATAGTTTTGGAACCTGATAAAGAGCGMGTCATTTTTATTATGTGCGGATATGTAAAACTCTGAACTTCAAAGCGGGTGGACTTTCTTCTTTACATGAATTTATGCATGCCCTGGTAATCTGGCAGGAAGTGCATGCAAAAATAGATCTGAAAGATCTTCCAAGGTGTAGCGATTTGTATTGAATTAGGACACGTCACATGCTGGTTGGGGCCTCGCCCTTTTTAAAGGATATTTGGACAGAAAAAAAAGAATTTAATAAAATAATAGTATTATCATGCTGCTGTTTCAAGGGCCGCTGCACACAATTAAACTGGTCAAAGTCAAGCATTGAGGTCATATCATCCCTTAAAAGTTGTTCATGAAATTTTTGACGCAAACTACACTCAAAAGACCACTAAGGTTGGGTGATATGATTTGATAATGGGTGACATATTCATGCAGGTGACATTTGGACTTTTTTGTGGAACAAGTACACCTTGGAAACACGTTTCTGGCACTGCTAGTAATATTTTTTACCACTTGCACACACTTCTAAAACCCGATAAGGTAAACAAGACTGTTTTCTTGTCAAATAATGGTTTATCTGAAAGGAATAATTTGTTCTCTTCTTCTAGTTTTGATTCTTTATTGGGATATAGTTTTTGGATTATTCATTCATGTAATTTGTATGTGCCAAACTGCTTAGGAGACAAAACAGCCACAAACATTTCCTTTTATTTTTTTATATGGAAGAGCACATAGGTAATTGTTTTTATAGTTTAGCTTTTGTTTAATTTTGAATTTGTCATTTCATACTTAGCCGAGTCTGCAAGACAGACAAACACTGGAACAGCCTGTAAATACGGTTGTACTGGCGTTAAAAAAAAAAGTCTATGTTTCCCTCCCCACCATTGTGGTTCTTGTTTAAATAAATGTATTTTCTGAACATAGGCTCTGCCATTCTATCTTTCTGTTATAAGTTTGAGTAAATAAATCAGCGATGCACTTCGAGGCGCGTTAGAAGGAAAATGGCTTTGCTTGCAGCTGGAAGGAGTCTGTGTGTACTGTTAAAAACAGCATTATAGTTTTTTTTTTTCTGTGGGTTGCACCTTTTGGCTTCAAACATACATTTTATTAATCAAGAACTAATTCATCGGCCAAAAAACGAAAACCAATCGTTGAAGGGCTCAGCCTATCATCAATAAATATGTCTAACCGCCCAAKCTTACAGACCACAGACATTTGTTGACAATCTGAAACTGACAGATTTAATATGCTGGTTACTTAACTTAAACTCATCTGCATAAAATAGTGTAACACAGCAACACACCATTATAAAACGTAAAGATGGTGGTAATAAATAAGCTAAAGGAAAGTAGTAATGAACCTTGAACAAAAATCGGTATATCAARGATACAAAAAGCCTCAGTGTTACCTGTACAAGCAGTCCATGTAGTCAGCACCTTTGCTGTACTCCTCCCAGTACATGTGGTACATCACTAAAACCTTCTCCTCAGATTCAAGAACTTTCTGGAATACAAAAAACACACAACAGGCGTTATAAACAGCAGCACAAATGAAATGCATWAAATATTTTTTGTAGTGACTGCTTACCTTATACAACTGTCTGACATGATTCTCAAGAAATATTTTGGTCTCTGTGTATAATCTTTCCCCCAAAGGCTCGGGGTACGCAACACACAATGCATAAATATCACTAGTGTCAACATTAAGGATAAACACAATTAATACACATAAATAAAAAAATGGTATTTAAATGCAAACATTTTGAAATGCATTCCATCCTTAATATTCCATGTCTAAGTAACTGTTCATCTAATACTTATTGCCTGGCCTACCAGCTCTTCATGGTATCTCAATTTTCCTGTTCTTACAAGTACCTATGGATACATTTAAATTCAATGAATTTGACAGCTACGCTCTTTCGTAACCCTAATATTTAAAGTGTTAAACTAGGTGATAGAGGATACGAGAATCTATCATTCCACGTGGCTCTTTCCACATAGTCGAGCATCACAACAGCCTTGATTGTGGTCAGTAACTTGTTCCATGTCTCGTCAAAATCCACCACCCGCGGCTTTAAGGACATCGTAGTTTCTCTTTCAGCCTGTAGAGAAAAATAAAAAACATAGTAACACTGAAATGAAGGGTTTGTGTTTATAACAAAAGCATCTTACAGTATATATAACTTAAATATTCTTTTTTTCTAAGAACTTACATATATCCACATTGTTTACATCAGTTCATCAAAATGAAATTATGGTTACAACAGAGAATCATGTCAAAGTAAAACCAAATTTAACAAAACCAAAACCAAAACCAAATAAATTGGGATTTTGAGGAATTAAACAGTAAAAAAAATTAAATAAAGCAATTTAATTACAAAATGTAAGGCACCAAATTTAACAATGAAACAAAATCCTAATATTTCCTCTCTTTACAGTAATTTTTTTGCACTTCTAAAGCTTTAAAAATCGCACCACTTAAGATAAACTAAACTGTGCAGCTCGAGTTGAAACATACTGTTTACATTAAAATGAATGCTAGCATAAAGATCAGATACAAAGTGTACTCACATTTCTCCTGTAAACATTTATTAAGTGAAAACAGAACCCGGAGTCAGGTGCAGCAGCATTACGACCGTGACAGCTCTGCCAGTAATATTGTGAATTTTCACTTCTCTTTCATAAAAAGTCCCATATTATATCCAGAAGAGGAATGAAGGCCCGGGTGTGCTGCACCAGTCTGACTTAACGTCACAGATTACTTTAACATCATACTCTGACAGTTTTTCCTAGTACCAGGTTCACTCTTACACATTGTCGTCTTATTTAAAGAAACGTTATTATGACTTGATAAACACCCCCTCTTACGTTTCAAAAAACGTAGCTAAGTAAAGGTTACTGGCTCCCGGAATGCCAATCCCGAAATAGGATGACAAGCTYGAAGGCTAACTAGCCCATTGCTAGCATGCTACTTCTTCCTGTTAAAATGCATTAGAGGCAACCGCTAGCAGTTAGCCGGCTAACAGCTAGCTAACGATGGTTCAGCTATCGTTAGCAACTTGTCATCTAGTAGTTTCCTCACATTATCTCTGACAGTTCGGAAGAACATGGCATTGATGTTAAACAAATCAGGTTACTCATGTCAAGCCATAACTTCTGAATACAACATACCTCTATACATGAATTTCTTGTTATAAAACTCTGGTTTGTCCGCTGTCACGGGCTTGATTTGATACAGGTCTTCCCATAGAAATGAATACGTAGAAACCTCGTTGACTGTGTCGGTCCGCCGCTGTGACGAGGCTGTGCGTCCGCCATATTGGAGGTGGRGCCGCTGCGCTGTGAACTACAACAAATGAACGGACTTTGTTTCATAAAGCACATTTTAACAGAGATTTACATTAATACGGCACCATCATTTATTCAAACACACACACATGCTCACGCGCACACAATTTGAGAAAAACAGGTACCAAAAACAA